CACGAACATTTGGTGGGCATGGCCAACTCGACGTCGCTCACTTTCATCAGTCACATGACAGCCCCTGAGCCATGCCTACGCAGCTGGTGATTAGGGCAGAGAACCAGTTGCTAAAAAATAATGGGAACCACAAAATCCTCCCTCTCTGTCTCCCCCTCTCTCTTTGTATCTCTCTACGTCTCTCTCTCCCCCCCTCTGTATCTCTATTTGTCTCTCTCTCCCCCCTCTGTATCTCTCTATGTGTCTCTCTCTCCCCCTCTCTTTGTATCTCTATGTCTCTCTCTCCCCCCGTATCTCTCTCTGTCTCTCTCTCTCCCACCCTCTCTCTCTGTTTCTCTGTATGTGTCTCTCTCCCCCCCGTCTCTCTGTATTTCTCTATGTCTCTCTCTCCCTCTCTCTCTGTTTATCTCTGTCTCTGGCCCGGGCTCTTCTGCATCGCCCGCCATCGCCCTTACCTTTTCAAGCCAGGCCTTCGCAGCTCTCCGCACCACAGCAGAAACTCGGGGGGGCCCTCCGTCCTCCCTACACAGATGTTCTCTGGGGGCTTGACGGGGAGACGCATAGCAGGGAAGGGAAGGGAAGGGAGGGAGGGAGGGGGTGCGGCAGAGGTTCAAGGCTGGTTTGGGGCTTCCCTCCCGAAGGAAGAAAGCGGCAAAGGCAGGAGCCATGCACACCCTACTGGACCCCTGCTGTGCAGTTCTTCTCCCCCGCCTGCCAAGGGCAGGGGAATGATTAAATCCCCCGCTCTTCCAGGTGAAATGAAGGAGGGCCAGCCATCCTCCCTCCTGCCCATTTCTGCCCCTCGAAGCCTCCCTGGAGCCCCTTTTCTGCCAGAGGCCGAAATTTTCATGTAGGCTCTGTGAACTGCCAGAGCGCCCACCTGGGAATCAAAGGCAGCGCTGGTCAAAGGCGACCCTGAGGCTCCAATTGCCTCCATCTCTCAGATGGAGATGGCGCTGTTTTTCAATGTTTTTCAATGTTTGTCAATGTCTTTCAATATTTTCCAATGTTTTTCATGTTTTTCATGTTTTTACCTGTCACGGGTGTGACATGTATATAATATAGGTATATAAAAACACGCCCGTAGTTGAATGCAATGTTGTGTCAAAATTTGAAAGCAATCGGTGAAGAACTTTCGGAGATGTGCGGTTATGTACAAACGGACATTTACATTTTTATTTATATAGATGGAGAGAATCCCCAACAGTGACTCCTTCCTGCACTCCTCACCTTTTGATGTATTCTGAAAAGACTATCCCAGTCTGCATTCCCCAGGAACCGCAAGTTCCATCATAAAAGAGGAATTCAGATGCATGTACTGGGACCCATGTCTTCAGATGAGAAGTTTTTTGGGGTTTAGAAGGCAGCCCAAGTTCCCTGCATATGTGTTCCTTTGATCAAACTGTATCTCAGGTGCCTTCTCTCCAGTGTACTTACTTTCCTTTTATTTTAACAGAAAAGTTGGGATGGAAATATAAAGAGACACAGCTGGGGATAGTGCAAAGAAAATACCCTGTAATAATGGCGGAGAAGTTCTTCCTTTTTTTTTAGGAAGTTGTGTTTCATGAAAATTGAAAGAACTTCAGGAAAAGACTGGAAAGGACTCAGTTTCACCACCAACGCATAAGGCATGGAATGGGGCAAAGCAGTGCACAGAAGCAGCTGTAGCAGCTATGGAGACAGGCTGGGTAGCCCACAAAGATTTCAGCCAAATAAAACAACTCCCTAATATAATCCTGTGACTAATTAGACTGGCTGACTATATAGGTCAATACTATGCTCCAGTATCTAGCACTGGCAGAATGTTGTATAAACAAGACAGAGGGAGGGGAAAGCCTAATGGGAAGGGTGAAAAGGGCAGTGTTTTCTCAGGAGGTTTACAGAAAGCCCAAGTCTATCTCTGCAGTGGGGAAAATATAATCTTTTTTTTTAATGCTCATGTCAGCCTTACAAGGTAGTCAAGACAAGAAGCACATCTAGAAATACTAGCTCCAATCTCTTTGTAATGTTAAAGGAACAAAATTTGGAAAGTCTGAAAGTACAACTCTCCACCTCACCTGTATAGTCCAGGAAAAGTAGAGAGGGTTCCTTCTGAAGTGTTTGCAATATCCCCATTCTTTCTGTGGACTCAGCTGCCAAATGGATGACTATTGCCAAGTTTTCAGTTTTTCCTCTTGTCTCCCAAGGCCATTCTCACATACTTTTACAGCTCAGCAAATTGTTGGTAACTGTAATGGTCCAAAGCAGGGGTGTCAAACTTGCAGTCCATGGGCTGGATGCGTCACGTGCTGGCCCCACCCCCACCGGGTTAACAAAAGGGGGGGAAAGTCTCGATACATCACGTGACGATGCCATGACACCCCGGTCCAGAGTGAGAGGCTTTTAGACTAATCAAATCATTTCGAGACTGTAAATCTGTTTAAAGCATTGTATCTAGACCATTTTCCTAAAGTACATTTGTCATGTAATACACGAAGATACTTTAGTTTGTGTCGAAGTCACAAGAATGACAGAAACTAGAGCTTAGCCTCAGAAAAATCAGCAAACAAAAATAAATATTCTAAGTGGGATAAAAAGAAAGCAAAATAGCAGATGCAAACCTGGGTAGATTGGGTAAAAAAAATAAATATCAACATCCTAATTGTTTAAAAACTTGCCTAAAATGCACAATTCTGTTTGGTTCTAGAAATTTCAGAGTCAAGAAGATCAGATTGACTGAAATAGCCCCATGAAGTTTTAATATAGTTGGTGGGGAGGTGGGGCCATGGAAATTCATCTCACATGGCAGTTTGTCCCTAAATTTAAAAAGCAAAGTCTCTTTTGGGTCCAGCTCCCCTGATGACTTTATGGGCATTTTTATGCAGTATAATTTTCTTGGGCATAATATGAAAGTGTTTTATCTTTTTTCAGGATTTTCTTTTACTTCTCAGTGTAATAGCCTAAACCCTGGAATTTGCTACTTCCCTCTCTTCTAAGTAGTAACCAGGTTAGATTTTACTTGCGTTTTCAAAATCAGGAAGTTCTGATTTTAGCTTAGTGGGAAGATGCATTATCAGTTGTGCTAAGAGGGTCAGTCTTAAAGTGTGCCTAGAGAGTAATATTCTCTGCTTACATTTCAAGCTAGAGTTATAGAGGCAGTAAAACTAGTGACAATGTGGAGAACACTTCCTGAGAGGCCCTGTCATGGATAGTAGATTTTCAAGGGCACAAGGAGGAGAGGTTCTGTTTTCATGAGGGGAAAATTTGTGCATGTGAATGAGTGGGAGAAGGATTATAGATTTGATTTGATTTGTATGGCTGCTCTCTGGGCAGCAAACAACAAATTAAAACAATGGTAAAGACAAGAACAAAACCATCATGCCTTGAACGTAGTTACATCTGTGAGAGAGAATAATATCACTATGGGGGACATGGGTGTATCTTTATAGAAAAGAGGAATAAAGTGTGGATATAAGTAGTCCTCAACTTACAACCATAACTGAGCCCCAAATTTTTATTGTTAAGTGACACACTTGTTAAGTGAGTTTTCCCCACTTTACAACCTTTCTTGCCACAGTTGTTAAGCGAATCATGCACTTGTTAAGTTTAGTAACATGGTTGTTAAGTGAATCTGGCTTCTTCATTGACTTTGCTTGCCAGAAGGTCATAAAAGCTGATCACAAGACCCTGCAACTGTCATAATACGAGTCACTTGCCAAGTGTCCGAATTTTGATCACATGACCGTGGGGATGCTGCAACAGTTGTAAGTGTGGAAAAATGGTCACACGTCTCTTGTTTTAGTGTAACTTTGAATGGTCACTAAATGAACTGTTGTAAATCGAGGACTCCCTGCATAAAGGGAAATAGTCTTGGACTTTCTCAGACATGGACAAAACATGTTCTTCAAATGTCATTCTGTCATTGTGTGCATAGCTTTCCCATTGGAGAGACCACTGCCATACTACTACTGTGTCACTCTGGGCCAGGGGTCAGCAATCTGCGGCTCTGGAGCCGCATGTGGCTATTTCACCCCTCCGCTGCAGCTCCCTGTCACTCAAAATATGCGTCACAACCGCCAATGTGAGACATCCGCCGGCACACGATTTATTGAGCTTTTCAACCCCCAGTAGGCCAACCATGGATAAATTCAAGAAAAGAACAGTTTCAGAAGGGAACTGTTTAATTCAACTACATATGCTAGTTTTGTGGCCACTCAGGAATTAGTCAGGCACGAGAAGGGTTTTGTGGCTCCTGGTGTTTTCTTTTCTGTGGGAAACAGGTCCAAATGGCTCTTTGAATGTTTAAGGTTGCAGACTCCTGCTCTGGTCTATGATTGCATTCAATCCAATTAGGGGGAAAGAATTTGCTGAAATAATAACAGTTCATGGGACTTATTAGAATGCTTCCTTCAGGAGTGGTATGGTGGCCTAGAGGTGGGGCTCTTGCCTCACAATCAGGAGGCTGTAAGATCAATCCTAGGTAGAGGCAGATATTTCTCTCTCTAGGCACAATGAGAATATATCTTTTGAACAAAACTCCTCATTGATGACAGGAAGGGCATCCGGCCATTAAACACTCTGCTAGCTCCATTCAATTGCCCAGATTCCACACCGCAAGGGATTATGGGGTCGTTAAAAGATGATGATGATGATTACAGTGCTTCCTTCAAAGGGCAAAGTCACAAGCTGGATCTAGTGCCATAGTGAACTGAAAGGTTTTGAAACTTCTTTGCTCATGGGTTAATCATTTTGAAAATGAATCTTCCCCTCCACTCACGGCACCCATTTGAAAAATATTTTCCCGAACTACCAGATACATGCACACAAAGACATGTGGAAACACGCATAGGTTTGTTCTCTTCCTTGCTCTGTGATGTTAAAATGTATCGGTTTCCCTTTTTTGCAGGAATGTTAATTCAAGGAGTATTGACGCTATGGAGACGTTGCACCCAATGGTCACCGATTTGGATAAAACGGAAAAAGCATTTCCAAAGATCCACTACTGCTGGCTTGGCTTTGACAAGATCAGAACAGTTTGGCTGAAGACACATCGTGAGTTCCATGCTGGTAAATACGCACACCCCACTAGATTGAAGGGTTTGAGATCAGCAGGTCAGTCTGGAGAAACCATGGGGTTGTTTTCATGTGAGTTGTGAATAATTAGCACAGGGTAAATTGACAATTACACCCTGGTAAAGGGAAAGGACCTCATAGAGTAAGCAAGATGACCTTGAGGGGGTTATGAAGAAGTTGTTGCCTAGGGAAAAAGGGACTGAATCGGCCAGATAACTTCTGGAAGCAGCTCATGCAGACACCTCCCTAATTCACTGAGCTATAAGAGGGAGGAGGAGGTACTACACAATCAGTAATGCAGGATTCTGTTATTATAATTCAGGAGTATCAAACTAAATTTCTTCGAGGACCAGATCAGAATTGTAATTCTCCTCCTTCTCCTCCCGTGGGGGGGTGAATACGGGACAGACGCCTCCTGTAGTACTCTGCCAGCCAAAGTGGGGTGTGGGGGGGAGCATTCATGGTCCTGCCCCCTGTTTTCAGCTTGGATGGCCTCCTGCAGCACCCTGCTGGCCAAAATGGGGTGCAGGGGGGGCATCCCATTTTGGCTACCAGAGGCATCATGGGCCGGTCCTTTGCTATTTCCAGGCTGGCCCCACAGGCCAGATTTAAGCACCCCACAGGCTGGATCCGGTCCGTGGGCCTTGAGTTTGACACCCCTGTTATAGTTGATCTCAATAAGAATAACTTTAGCCTTTTGGTGGAGTTGATTTCCTATTGTCGGCTACTGATAGGGCTGAAAGATACACTTAACAACACGACTTAACAATAGTAAACTGAGTAACCATTCAAAGTTACAGTGGTCCTGAAAAAAGTGTCTTGTGACCATTTTTCACACTTATGACGGTTGCAGCATCCCCATGGTCACGTGATTTACATTTGAAGTCAATGGGGAAACCAGATTCACTTAACAACCATGTTACTGATTTAACAACTGCAGTGATTCACTTAACAAATGTGGCAAGAAAAGTTGTAAAATGGGACAAAACTCACTTAACAAATTTCTCACTTAGCAACATACATTTTGTGATTGTAAGTTGAGGACTATCTGTGTCTGCTATTGAAGGAACAGGGACTGTACATGTGATTACGAGTGAAAAGGAAGGAGGCATGTGCTGTATGTACAGCCCTGCTCTTCATAGCACTGCCTACCATAACAAATCACAGGTTTGTCTTTCTCAGCAATGCCGATCCAAAAAGATTTGCAGCCAGCAATCCAGCCATAAAAAAAAGATGGCCAGTTGCAAGGAATCTTCTACTATTGGTACTGATACATAAGGAAGAAGATTGGTTAAACATAGTATTTTTGGGGAAACTGTAGATTAAATCAAATCCTAAAATCCAATTTTAAATATCAGCAAGAGATTGTGCAATTAAGACATAATTATTGTTTGTAATTATTGCAGTAAAATATACATATGCATACATTTCTGCCATTGGATCTGGTATGTTGATATGGATTGCTGCATGTCCAGGTAGTAAAAGGAAATGTGGCATAGACATAATGGAGGATTAATGTTTTGAGTAAAGGAATAGAAAACTGTGTTGTAACAATTACAAATAGCATAATTATGTGTTGCATACATCATAATGACAAGATGAAAGTTGTATGTTTAAAAGTTCTAAGTTACTATACACTCTTCGTGACCTGTGGAATTATAATTCAGGTTATTAAAGAGAAATTTACCTTGCTTAGTCTAATTGCCTACCATGCTATTGTAGTAATATAAATATATACTTGCATAAGTATACATGCTTATTTAAAACATTTATATCATATTCTTCAGTCATAAAGCATATAAAGTTCATAATTCATTTACAGTTTGAAGCAGAAAAACAATGATTAGGTGTTCCCAAGTCATGCAAATTTCAAAATACCCAGAGTGTATATGCAAAACCAACTATTCCTCATGTGTTTTAAAACAGTTGACCAGGAAAATGTATTGAAATTATCCAATTATCTCCACTTTTTTTTCTTTTTAATGATGTACAGCATGATGTACGTTGTGCAAGAACAGGTTAATCTCCTATTACAGTATTAACAAACTACTTATTAGGGCTGTGTTGTTAGAGATGCAATGAGATAATTTGGCTAGTAATTGTGGACTATGATACTTCCTCATTTGCAATGTATGTTAATGTTTGTACTTGCTGTGCAGTAAGCATTCATGTTTTTATTTTTATAAGGTTTTCCACCCAAAGTGACTTGTTGAGCTAGGCGGTGATAAAAATCGATTAAATAAACAAAGCATTTGAATTTATATTTGTAAGTGGCTTATAACTGTTCCATTTTGGAGGGAAGCTTTGACATGCAAGCTCTTAACTTGGAGACAAGAATTGAAATGTTTGCATTTTCAATGATAGTCCTATATTGCTTGGCAGTTGACATCTGAACAAAGAAAGTAGATTCTCTGCATGTTACTTATAGTTAAAGGCAGGGGTGAAATCCAACAGGTTCTGAGAAGTTTGAGAGAACTGGCAAATGCCACCTCTGGCTGGCCCCAGAGTGGGGAGGGAATGGAGATTTTGCAGTATCCTTCCCCTGCCACACCCACCAAGCCACACCCACAGAACCGGTAGTAAAAAAAAATTGGATTTCACCACTGGTTAAAGGGCTCATTCTTTAGCATTGGAAAGATAAACACATGGCCCCACTAGTAAGTTCTTAAGGCAACTGCTCCTTTCTGAAGTCGGAAAAAAAGAGGGGTAGAGGAGTTGCTGTAATGAACAGCCCAACAAAATGGCTCTGAGTTTATCCAAACTCCAAAACATTTCTTCCAAAGTTTCATTTCATATCTCAAACCCTACCCTCTATGGTAGTTTATTGTTCTGATGTTCTAATCTCTGCTTTTAAAAGCTCCCCAGCTCCCTGTGAAAGCTTTTAGAAGATATTAATACATGAACTTACTTAACAGCAGCTTGTCTATTTACTGATGAACAAATAAGAAAAGATTCCCCAAGAAAAGAAACTGCATTACTTATTTTGGTCCCTAGGTGGCAGCAAGCCAAGACAGTTCTATATTGTAGAGTTAAAACTAGTTTCAATCTTGCATCCACTCTAGTTCTTGGCTTGATAATAGGATGCCATTGTTGGGGTTTCTTACGATTGCTTGTTTATCTTGTCTTATGAGGCCTGTTGCGGTTTTTTAATGAGAGCTAGATTTATCTTGCATTCAAACTGTTTACTGGGTTCTAAAAAGGATTGATTGTATTATGGTAATGACTTCCTGTTGGAAATATATTTCTTTTCTAATGTTGTCTGGATGACGGAGAATTTATAATATTAGCTTTTATCTCTATTTATTTGTTAATTTGAAACAAGTACAATTTGATAGATTGTGTTACCATTTTTTATTTCCATATTTTAATTCTGGGAAAAACATAGTGTTATTTTGGAGTATATAGACATAATTTAGAAATGAGTCAAATTATTTACTAAAAATGGCAATATTAGTGTCATCAGTTTTTATTGTTTCATGTTGAATAAAGCTCCTGCTGGGAAAAGCATAGCAGCATAAATAAAGAAATAAAAATGATAGTTTTTGTGATAAATAGATCTTAGTTAAATTTTGCATCATTTTGTATCACAGCAATTAGAAGTTTTAATAATCTATATATTTTTCCTCCAAAGTTTCTATTCAACCTTTTTTTCATCAAGATTGCAAGAAACTGTAGAATAGCTGAGACTTCTTCATAATAAAGAATATAAGGCTGAGATATATGATCTCAGATAGAAATATAACGAAATTTGAGTTTTAGGGGAAAAAAAGATGTCATAATACCATATCACATCTTTGGCATCTGCCAAGGGATTGCATCTATAACACCTAAAATTCTCAAACAAAAATATTGGTTTATTTCACAAATATAAAAAAAACCCAAGTATAATTTGCATCCCTTTTAAAAGAAAGGAAGAAAGTCATAGTGAATATGGTTACCTGATTTTTAGCTAGTTAGCTTGAAGTTTATTTCAGAAATAATAATAATAAAAAAACACATGTTGTATTAAGCTTTCAGATGCAGGAAATTCGCATTTCCTAGAGGGAAATAATCCATCCAGGATTTTATTGAAAACCTTAAATTTTCTGAAATATAATCTTGACATTCTTTGAGGATCACCACACATGCGCTTTGTGTTGCATGTTTTAAAATGAATAGAATAAAAGCATTCGCTTTTGTTCATTAATCTATTAATCATTTGGGATATCATTTATCTTATCTTGAAATTTAGCCTGTTGCCTAGAAGTAGAACAACAGGTTTGTAGCCTGTCTGGGTTCAAGTTTAGCTGTAATTATACTTTTGGTTTAGCCAATATTAACCAAGCAGATCATGCTTTTAATCCAAGGCCCCTTTCATTATTACAAATGCTCAAATCTGTAGCTAGGGCTGCTACATACTAGACAGCTCTCGAATAAAATACAACTTGGACTATATTTGGAGCCTTGTATCCAAGCCCAGAGTGATAACTGCATTGTTTCCTTCTTTCCTTTCTGGTAATTATTAATACCACAAAAGTATAAAAGAGCATCCTGCTAGAGGCAATGGTTTGAAGTAGAACTGTTGTGGATTTCAATGGAAAGTTGATTTATTTCAAGGGATTATGAGAGCCCAGGAATAAAGCTGGCACCTCGCCACAGGCAGAGCCCTTGACCTAGAAGCAAGGAACAGTTACAAAGCTATTCGTGTACATAACTGAACAGAACACTAATATTGTGCTGAGAATAACCTGAATTCTTTCTCCAAGGGCCAATGAAAGGAACAAGCGTTGCTGCTTAGTAGGACACTGGCCACCGTATCCAAGGCTCTTTGCTTTCTTTACATCTTACTCAGCAGGACTGCAAGAAGCAATTCTTTATGACAAAGGGCATTTTGTAATTATTTTCTAAAAAATGGTTGAAAATTCATTTCAGAGGCCACTTATATAATCGAACCTGGAGACACAATTCATGCAGTGTTCCAACGGGCAAAAGAAAAACTCGCAGGCCACAAAGGCCCATGGGGGGAATTCTGCATTAAGGCATGAAATCTAATTTTGCCT